GAAAAATAGTTACAGAGAAAATACTGAAAGGTCAATGTATTTTGCCCTATTCGTTAGGTGTACGAACAATTTGGAGTCAAATCAAAGGATCTCATTTTCACTGTTTTTAGTCTAGCACAACAAATTCAGGACTTACGAGGGAACGTTCCCAAGTGATTAAAAGCTTTTGAGCTCATATGTTACCCATTAGGTAGGGAACCACTAGATTAGAGAAACCTCCAAAGGATTCGTGCCCATATTGAGATTTGACAGAGATATCGAATTAAAGTGGATTTTTCCTGTTGGACCCTAGTTCTACAGCAAAATCATATTTTCGAATTTCGACCTGAAACTTTGCCTAAATGAAGGCGTCGATCAGAGTAGCTTGTACAAAAAACTTTCAGAATTTTCGGACATTGCATCTCCAAGGTATCAATCTTTCAAAGTATCCATGTTATCTATAGAAAAGTGCCTATATTTTCAAAAATTGATACCTTGGAAATGCAATGTCCAAAAATTCTGAAATTTTCTATATCAGCTACTCTAATCGAAGTCTTCATTTGGGGAAAGTTTCAGGTCGAAATTCGAAAATATGATTTTGCTGTAGAACTAGGGTCCAACAGGACAAATCCACTAAAAATTCGATATCTCTGTCAAATCTCAATATGGGCACGGATCCTTTGGAGGTTTCTCTAATCTAGTGGTTCCCTACCTAATGGGCAACATATGAGTTCAAAAGCTTTTAATCATTTGGGAACGTTCCCTCGTTAGAGAGCTGAAACTTTCAGGCTGAAAGTTTCAGCGAAAAACCGATGACAACAGGGCTGCATCTCGGCGACAACCGCACCTCTATATCTTGAAGCCATCTTGACATATTAAAGAAACAAGATCATTTTTCAGGCGTACGAACAATCTTGAGCATCACTGTATATCAGTCTTATACTCTCTTATAAACAGCTGCATACGAATCAAAGCACAGCAGGTCTTAAGAAGAAGAAAATTTAACAATAAAAGTAACATAAGTTTCGTCCGAGCGATTTACAAACACCTTTTATTCGCATACATCCTACGCAAAAAAACGATTCCAACAGCTGGTTCTCATCTCGACGTCCTTTAGCAAACAATTGATCAATTAATTTTATAACAAGCTGCTTCTCTCATAGCATGGTTTTTCCAATAGAGAAATGAATGTCAGAAGGTTTATTTTTTATCTGAAAATTGGTGGTCGGTAAAGTTCAAGTAGCACACAACATAACTACAAGTCAATCAGATTATAATTAGTTCTATATGGTGAAACGTGTAGTTACATTAGCTGCGTGACACGTGACAGTTCCTGCTCCACAGTTCTCGTGAGCTGAGTCAAAGAGTTGATAGACAACTCCAGCTCATGTGAACTACAGTGAGCCACCAGTTCTTTTCGCATCAGATGTCTCATAAATTTTTCAGGGCTATTCTATACGGATACCCATCACTCATCAATTTATATTCTATGAGAGTACCTTTAGGTCTTTAACGCCTATACTATAAGCTATAGTGTAGGCCTTGAGAGCCTAAGGCTAACCCGTAGTAGAGCTCTTGAGGACATAAAAGTACCTTCATAGTATGGTACTTGAGCCTCTAAAGGTATCCCACAGTACAGCTTCTGAGTACCTAAGGGCACTCTCACAGTATAAGCCCTTCAGGGCCTAAGGGTTCCCCTATAGCATAGCTCTTGAAGGCATAAAGTATCCCTTTAGTACAGGCCTTGAGACCTCAGGCTGTCCTTATAGTATAGCACTGGAGAACCTAAGAGCACCCATATAGTATAGCTGTTGAGGGCCTAAGGGTACCACAATAGTATAGCACTTGAGGACCCAAGGGTACTCTTATAGTATAGCACTTGAGGATCTAATAGTACCCTTATAGTATAGCAGTTGAGGACCTAAGGGTACCCCAATAGTATAGCAGTTGAGGACCTAAGGGTACCTCAATAGTATAGCACTTTATAGTTTTAAACATAAACTACTATGCAAGTGAAACGGTAACCGGTCTGAACCGGTTACCGGTTCAACGGTTACCGATTCAGAGTCTGAATCGGTAACCGGTCTGAATTTCAGACCGGTTATCGGTTCATACCGGTTACCGGTTCACCGGTTACCGATAGACCGATTACCGATTAGGCCGGTTATCGTCACCGTTGCACCCCTACATATGAGATCTTTATAAGATTTTCCATAGATATTCAGCTCACAGAAATACATTAATGAAAAATGCTTCATGTCGCGAGACACTATCGTTCAGAAGATTTTCTAATATCGAGCTGCAGTTTTCGAGTTGTTTTCATTCGAAAGATATCTCTTTATCACTTCGGACGACGAAAAGAATCTATTTAATTTTACACTGCGCCATTTTTCCGATCATCGAAAATTCTAAAGTCTGAAAATGCTAAACATGATTTTCTTCAAAACTCAGTGTTTATTTAGCATTAATGGTCAATGAAAAAACTCATTTCTCTCATTTGAAGAACTTTGCATTTATCTATCAATCAAAAATAAAACATAACTCTCTAAGTTGAATCAAACATATTGAGAAATAATTTATCCATTGTTTGATCATAACTGAACAAGTTAATTTTTAGAAAAATGTGAAAAAGGTTTTATTTTGTAGTTTTTTAACTTATTAGTTAGAAAAGAGGTGAACCGTAAATACATTACATGTCAATTGAAGGATTTGTCTATGTACATTAAATTGTCATCGTATTTGAGACACATTATGATTAATGATGCTATCTATTATTGTTTTTCTATTTGTCACACATCAATAACGCAATAAATACACATGAATAACAAATTCAATTTTTCAAATTGATTTGTTATCTTACAGTTTTATTTAAAAGTCATAGTGATGATTGGTATTTATTAGTAATTCTCTAGAAATATGGCATTTTATTTTATAGAAAAAACCTACTTTGAGGAAGTAGGTGTGAATGAAGAGAAGATGCACAGCCACATCTTCGAGTCATTGAAGACTTCAAAATGGGTATCTCTGATGCGTAGAATTTGATAACCTTTGGAAAATGTTTTTTTTTATTGTTCATCGTGATTATACAGATTTGAATCATTACAATTTGATCGATTTTCGTCGAACACTTAATTAGAGGTTCGTCGAAGCAAAGAGTGTAAATTTAGATAAAAGCAATAGTGCTGATCACTGTGAGGATGTTCAAGTTCATTTATATAAAACACTCAAAATAGTTTCGACTAAGGATAATGGTTTATGTGCAGCCCAGACATTGAGTTAGATTTTTGATTACATGTATTATCAATGAAATAGTTAAGCGAAGAAATTTTACTTGATTATCTGATTTTAATGCTCAACTTTAAACAATATTATAGAATAAAAAAAAAGTATAATGAGATAAAACAAAGGAAAATCAAGCTGAACGACTTCAATTAAATGAGTTCAATACGTCCTTTTTATTCAATGAAATAATTAAAACAATAAGTGCAGTTATTGCAAATGAACTTATATAATATAATGAAATGTTTTCTAATTAATTTTTTTAATATGTAATTAGAGTTTTCATTTAATCAATCTATATATATATACAGTTGTTCGTAAAAAAATAATTTGCATAAAAATACGAATTTCTAAGGAAATTGGCATAGAATATGTGATTGTTTTAGTTTTGCATGTATAGAAATTAAAAATATCTTAAAAACTTATATATTCATATTACTTTATTGGAACAAAGTCATGAGAGCTGTTAGCCGTGTGAAGCATGAAACAAAGACTTTCATGAGGACTCTCTACGTAAATAATATCAGCAAATTCGAATAAAATAAAATTGACTGAATATTGAAGAAAACATTGTCAACAATATGCCCTCAATGTCAGAGAAAAAAAAGATTATTCATCAATATATTCATCGTAGTTAAAAGAAAGTATCGAAAGAAATAGATGAGAACATGTTGAAAATCAAAAGAGACATTATATTTTTGTAGTGAAACTTTGAAAAAGCCAGTGTTTGCAACAAGATTATAACTTCAAATAAAATAGCGATTAGGTAACAGTCTGGATCCGATGAGAAAGAAAATATTTCATCTATTTATCGTTACTTTTGATTCTTGAATTTGATTTCGATGCTGAATTGTTTTATTCTAAATGATTAAGAATATTTGATTCAATAGTTGAAAATTATTTGATTAATCAAATAAATAAGGAAAAAGTTAGTTTTCAGAAAGATATAATCTCGAAATATGTAAGAGTTTAATTTAGATTGATTGATAAGTGGTTTGAATTTTAATTGATTTGGCCAATTGAAATGAAAAGATAACTGTCAGTATCTGAAAAATATTAATATCAAATCAAAATGAACAAATAAAACAAACGCTTACTGTAAAAGTAAACGTAAAAACTGCTACAATAAGAAGTAGCACACTAAAACCAAGCCCAACACCAGTATGATGTAAAACGGTTGAAAAAGTAGCTATTCCAATAATTGCAAAAATAATGATAACCACAATGCATACTAGTTCAAGGATACCGAGCCATGCAAACTACACAAAGTATTAAAATGATATATATATATATATATATTAGAGAGATGTGATTTAAGTGTTCAGTTAAATAGATGAAATGATCAGTAAAAAAATATATAAATGATTAGCATGAATATTGAATGCTCAGTACTTGAAATGTCAATATTTGATTACAAAATGGTCATCTTATCATAGACATAATTAACAGTAAAAAAAATACGAATTGAATCAGTAGAGAATATAGATTTGTCCAATCAAAAACTTAGATTTTATCAACACAATATTTTTTTAATGGTTTTTTTTAATTCACTCATACTCGTACTCACACTCAAATATCTGTATAATCATCGTGCTCTGTTTCAGCTGTAAAAGCAGTAGCATTTTTCACTTTCCACATAATATAGTGATTAAATACTTGTTGTGTATTGAAGTCGATAAAGGCTGATTTTGCCGGATCTGAGGTGTTTTCCGATTTTCTACATAGTTCGTATAATATTTTTTTTACCGTCCATTTCTTATTGATGCTTGTGCTTCATGAATATTATCAAATGTAACATTGACAGCCTAATATTTTGATTTCTTTCTTTCGCAAGATGTTTCATTTCCATTTGTTTCATCATCTTTTTTGCTCATTGACTCTAAGCTGACTTGAGAAGAAAGTATAACAGCAAAAATGTACCTAAATTGTACACTGTATATAATATCTATACTACATATTTCGAGCAAACGAAGAAAAAAAAAGTGAATCGCATTATAAGACACTTCAATATCTATGTGCATTCTTCGATTTGATTGTCTATTATTAAACTTTATTCACTAATTGTTAAATCTATTAAAAAACCTCATTTATCACTAACTGATTATTTTAATAATCTATTCATAGATCATTGAATTTACTCATTTTATGACTATTTAACTCACTGACCATTTCATCTGTTTTACTGACCAAATCTTTTGTTCCTTGTATATATAATATAGAAAAATATAAATCGAACATACAATAAGAATGGGAATTCGAGCATATTTAAACACAGCAAATATGTAAACAGCTAAATATAGTATCAAAATTGCACCTAAAATTAAATATAAAAAAAACAATCAAATAAAATGTTTCCATAGAAAATTTTACCAAAAACTACATTGCTGATATATGAAAAAGCTGCATTATAATCACGAATATCCTTGGGCACATTATAATATTGAATTAGACCAATAATTTGTTCAATAAAATAAACCCAAGCCAAAGCCTAAAAGAGTTATAAAGGATGATTTGTTTTTATAGATTTTTTTTTCCTACCATATGAATCGCTAGCAAAACAAAAAGTATCGTTCTTATTTTTCTTGCACCACTACTTGGTGCATAATCTCGTTCAATTGCCGATTGTGACATTTGCATTGGTGCAATTGGTGCTTTTTCACTCGTTCCTTCAGATTGCATCTTTAAAAAGTTTTAAAATCTAAAGCAGATAATATCAGCTGCTGTTTGGGAATGGAAAAAAAACAAAGAAAAATAAATAGTTAATGTATGAGCGAGAGTATCAAAAATCGTTTACATACACATCGCATCAATAAACACGTTATTTATGAAGAATAAAAGAAAGAGAACACCAATAAGCATTTTTTTCTTTTCATATATTTATAGATTATAATTTGCAAGTTATTAACACAACAAAGTATAAATCAATGATTCGTTAAATTACATCGTAATCGATAAAATCCACGTATTGATGTGTTATACCGTTTTCAAAAACTGCATAGGTCACGCTGTGATGCCGTATATAACTGATGTTTGTCATACTAATTTGAGAAAGATAATCGTTTTTTAACTTAACTGCATAATAACGAATCCATGAAAAAAATTACAAAAAAAATCAGAGAAAATCATACATTTTGAAAAAGCTATAATAAGAAGGGATTGAGAAAACCAAAGCTACATTGATTTTTCTGATCAGAGATAGAAGAGGCTGTTTCTCACTGCTCCCCGCTCTTTCTCAAGCTTACACGCTTTGCCTACCTCCTTCTTTTCTTGTCGGTTGCACATGTTGTGAAAACGTGACATCATTTCTTCGATGTTGTTTTAGCTTGAATAGAACTATGAGATAGTGCAATATCATCTTCATGGACACTTTCATAATGCTGCATAGACGTGTGTTCAAAGGGTGAGACTGTGCAGAATACCCTAATCTATCTCTGATTCTAATAAATTTCAATTATAGTAGACTCAATATTGATGAAAGAAATCGATTATAATTGGTGCAAATCAAGGCAATCAGCTAAAGATCTTAACGTTTATCGTCAAACAAAATCGATGAAAGGCGATGTCTTTTTGGCATCGATTTTATTTATCGATTATAATCGAAACCAGACAGATTAATCAATGGGATTTTTATTTTTTCGAATATGTTTTTATTAAAATCGATTCCTAATTGATTATTTCTAGATTAAAATTATATAGTTCCAATCGACTTAAATTTGTTTTTTCATGTTTTTCTTTACCTTGGAGATTCCCAATATTTGTTCATTATATTAATGCTATAGATTTTTTTTTCGAGATGTTTCTCTTCTATTGTGCATAATAAGCACGATTGATACAAAAGAGGTAGGTATTTATTTAATCGATGCTTTCTCACATGGATTGTTTGTTTTGTTTTGCTTGATATAGTCATACATAGGTAACTTGTCTGTAATAATTCACTTTTTTTTCTTTTCATTCGGAGTTTGTTTCATCTTGTGACTAATGCTCCATGTTTCTACATAGTTTTACTTCACTTTGTATAATAGATCACATTTCACGGCTTAAAGCGACATCGAAAACAATACAAATGACGACTTTACACTATAATAAAATCTTATATCATCGATGTTGAATCAGTAAATACTTACAATACATCAAAAGTCATAGGAATGGTTCTATTACATCTTATAGGAAACTAGAAGAAAATTTCTCTCCTATATAAGAACAAAATCAAGGAAAAGAGGACATCAGTACAGTGCAAGTATTCAAAACGTTCCAATGAGAAGTGTTAAACAAAACCAAGGAAAATTTATTGTTTTTTTTTTTGAATGAACTGTTAACAATAAGATTTAGTGTCAAATCATATAAAGGAGATTGATAATGCAGAAACTAGAAGAGTAAATTTTTGTTGTACGATGTATCCTAACTGACAAAACTCTTCTAACTCTTACGCTCTCACGCAGAGTAGAGCACAGTTACCCTGAACATTTCTAGTATCAATGACACATCAAGTTTATTTATCATCTGATATCATTTTAATTTAACATTTGGAAAACATAGTTCAAGTGACAAAAAGTTACAAAGAAAATTTTAATCCTTTATTCATAAATTATCTTTTTCATGCATTCCATATTGATAATTAAACAGCTTTATAGAATGATGGAATTTCTTTAGGTTTAAAATTATTAAAACAACAATCAACGCATAATAATAATAATCATAGTTCAATATTTAATTTTTTTTTCTATAATCAATCGTTATCATGGACGTGATATTTTGATACATAGTCTGATTAATTAAACAGAATAGTGTTCAATTACTATTGCGGAGACTCATATTGATTTGAGATCCAATTATATATGTCTATCATCTGCCGATTTAATGACAATTATAGAATAACTAATTATTTCATGAAAATAAAATGTTTTTGTTTACACTGTTGATAATAAAAAGATTCCTTTATTAACTGATGAAATGTGGAATGAAGAGATAAACACATATTTTGATTCTATAATTCGAAATACATAACGCATATATAGATTAAAGGGAGGCTCTTCTCACAAATCTAGCTCTGACAAGACATATGAGATGTTTATAAGACTTTCCATAGATATTCAGCTCACAGAAATACATTAATGAAAAATGCTTCATGTCTCGAGACACTATCATTCAGAAGATTTTCTAATATCGAGCTGCAGTTTTCGAGTTGTTTTCATTCGAAAGATAACTCCTTATTACTTCGGACGACGAAACCATTTATCTATCAATCAAAAATAAAACATAACTCTCTAAGTTGAATCAAACATATTGAGAAATAATTTATCCATTGTTTGATCATAACTGAACAAGTTAATTTTGAGAAAAACGTGAAAAAGGTTTGATTTTGTAGTTTTTAACTTATTAGTTAGAAAAGAGGTGAACCGTAAATACATTACATGTCAATTGAAGGATTTGTCTATGTACATTAGATTGTCATCGTATTTGAGACACATCATGATTAATGATGCTATCAATTATTGTTTTTCTATTTGTCACACATCAACAGCGCAATAAATACACATGAATAACAAATTCAATTTTTCAAATTGATTTGTTACCTTACAGTTTTATTTAAAAGTCATAGTGATGATTGGTATTTATTAGTAATTCTGTAGAAATATAGTATTTTATTGTATACAAAACATCTACTCTGAGGAAGAAGATGTAAGGGACGAGAAGATCTACAACTACACCTTCAATTCATTAGCAGAGTTCAAAACGGGTCTCTATGATGTGCAAGCTTTGATGTTCTTTGAAAAATCTTTGTTTTTGTTTTTGAAGATTCTCTAGATATCATTATTTACACTAAGACTTTGCAAGATCATTCATAAAACTACCAATCGTCTTTGACAGTCAGAAGCACGTTTATGATGCTGAACCCTAGGCAACTCAGGGGATATGTTGAGATGTTTAGCTTAAAAATAATTTTTTTGACAAACATCGAATTTTATTACTAGGCTGTTTTAATATTTACAAATAATGTTTATAATACCTTTTCAACTGTAGAAATTTGTTCTGTTACATATAGTATCAGTCCTATGGAAAGTTGGATTCGAGCTTATAGACAACATATGCAAGTAACTGTTGATGATATACAAAAGAAAATGAAAGCATAGTATGATAAAAGATCACAGAGTAAGAAAGATTTTTGTTATTTATCGCGATTATACAGATCCGAATTATTACAATTTCATCAATTTTCATCGAACACTTAATTATAGGTTCGTCGAAGTACAGAGTGTAAGTTTAGATAAAGGCAATAGTGCTGATCGCTGTAAGGATGTTCAAGTTCATTTATATAAAACAGTTACTGCAGATGAAATGGGGTTATTCAATGAAATATTTTCTAGTTATTTTTTATGTGTAATTGGACTTTCCTTGTAATCACAATATTTTTTGAATTATGAAATAGAAATTTTCAATAAAGACTTTCTCAACAAATAATATTGAGTTCTAATAAAGTGAATAATCAATTTACTCTTTATCAAATAGACAAATTATAAATTAGTCAATTATTGTTTTAAAAAGAAAAAATTGTTAATATGACGAAAGGCTGAAGGATAGCTTCGATTTGGAACTATCTTGAACATAATTTAGACATAATCGGTGTAGTTTAGGTTTTAGCGAAAGATTCACTAGCAGTTATAGATTTAGCATGAAACTACGTATTGTGCTTGTCATTCAATAGCAATTTATTTACTTTTTCAATATGTGATTATAAATATAAAAGTGCACTGTATATGTAAAATTTCGTTTCTTCCATACAGCTGTTTTGAACTAAGAAGAACTTCATCAACCATATTTTGAACATGGACATTCACACCGAATTATAATTATATTTTCAACAAACAAACTTCATGATTCAACTATTTTCTCATTATGTGCCAAAGAATCGAATGTTCGAGCCAATAAAAACGTGATTCTTTTCGTTTCTCACTCACTTATATAGAATTTTGATATTCATAAGGTTACACTCGTTGTATCGATATAGTTTAAAATTACAAAAAGATTATTAATAGTTATTAATCTTTGAAAAATAAAACTTAGCATGTTAAAAATAAATGTCACTCTCAAACTCAGCAATTATGGTTTTTCTTTGTTCATAAGAAATTCTTCTGCCAGTAAATATTTTGCATCATTTGGAATAACAATCATTTTTCATATATATTATATATTGAATCAAAATAACAGTAGAATGATTCTAATAACGTAATTTAATAGTTGAATTTTATCATAAAGATAATCTTTATGCAATGTACATTTTTCACATTAAAATACATCCAACCTGAACAAATATACTGCTATATAATATGCATGAGACATAAGTCATTAAAACATCCCTTTTATTTATGCTAGAATATTATATACACAATTACCGTGAAACCTTTCACACAAAAAATAACAACGAACATAAGTTAAATAAGACAAAAACAAAAAAAAACAAAGCTAAGTGCAAATAAAGAAAATTATTATTCAAATAGTTTAATTCATTTTATCGACCACCGACTGTGCCAGTATTAGGATTAAATGATCCTGGAAGACGATTGTCTAATGGTTTAGTTCCGATTTGACTTGCATCACCACACATTTGAGCAGCAGCACCTGTACCAGTACCTACAATTGCCTTGTCTTGAGGAGGAACTTGTGAAATAGGCATGGCACCA